ATTAATCTATAGTTTTTAATAATATAGATATATCCAATAGACCAATATGGTCTGGCGCTGTTAAATTAGGCTTTCGAATGAATGACATTATGGGATACATCGTAAGTAAACATCGCTATATGGGTAAAACGCGTTTGCTTCCGTTCGATGTTGCCAGAGAGAGAGAGAGGGGGGGTAACTTCCACTCGAGACAAACTAGGTCATTTCGGGGGAGAGGGAGAGAGAAATGGGGTGTAACGTCCACTCGACAAATCTAAGTCATTTCAGACAGTAGAAACTGTAGGTAGTTAAAACCAATTTCATTGCATTGTATTTTCATGTTGGACTTTTATCACCCAGCGATTCGAAACAACAATAGACTGCATAATCTTCGAAAATTACACATTAAACTAATTTATTAGGAAAGAATAGAATTCAATTTCACAAACACGTGTTTCATAAAGCCAATTGAATGTTTAGTATACAAGAGCTATGTGGCTGTTTTATTTATGCAAAGAGGTAAAATTATGCAACTGGGTCAACTCAAAATACATTTTTTTTAAAGAAATTTACTTAATTACCAACTTATTCCAAAGGAAAGGAGGCCACGGTGTGTCAGTGAATACGGTTCTGACTCAGAACGTTTCTCCATATTAGTGTGATTGTGTGTGTGTTTGTATGTGCTAGGGGCGGTGTTAAACATCATTTCATTTCATAAGCCCTTGGCAGTTGGAATTCGATATAAGACTAGGTCGTAACGCTGCTATCCCGTCACAGTGTTGCTCATAGCACACTAAATGGATATATCCGGCTTTATTAGAACAGAATAGTAGGACGTTAGACCTCATTTTAGTTCACTGGCCGTCATTACCAATAATAGACCGCAATAAAATCTGGCTTCACGTCTTGTCAAACATATTTTATTTAGACCTATTATATATCACTCTTGCGACATTTGTTTTTATAATAAGTTGTTTGACGTTAGCCCTTCCTGCTTGGGAAACTCGGTGTCAAGACAACTGTTTCATTGACATCTACTGAATGAACAGACAAGTCCACTGGAACCACATTGCAGAGGATAGGGATTTCATGAAATGGGGTTTAATGTCCTACTGTTCTGCTGCTACAGGACTAATGGAAACGGGGTTAGTGGTTAGACACTCTGAATATATTATATATATATATTATACGACATCATTAATATACACGTCATATTGATATAATAACATAAAAGACATGCAGAATATATATTATACGACATTATTAATATGCATGTCATATTGATATAATAACATAAAAGACATGCATTATGTTTAATGGTAGATTATCTGCAATAAAATAATACCGTATAGTTACTCTAATACGTATCGATTACAGTAGGTGGGTGGGTGAGGGTGTAACGGTTTACCCCAAACTAATCGATTATAGTAAGTTGGGTCGGGTGTAACGGTTTATCCCAAACAAATCGATTAAAGCAGGTGTGTGTGTGGGGGGGGGTGTAACGGTTTACCCCAAACAAATCGATTATAGTAGGTGGGGTGGGGTGTAACGGTTTACCCCAAACAAATCGATTATAGTAGGTGGGGTGGGGTGTAGCGGTTTACCCCAAACAAATCGATTGGGGTAACGGTTTACCTCAAACACATCGATTATAGTAGGTGGGTGGTGGTATGTTGGGGGGGGGGGGGTAACGGTTTACCCCAAACAAATCGAAAAAGAAACATCATGCTCTCATTCATGCTCAATTATACCAGACATTTAATGTATTAGTTTTGCCCTAAATTCATCAAAATATAATGTGATTATGTGTACTTATATAACATGCATTAGAGTCAAATATTTTCCAACGTGGTAGCCCCCTTGTCGGTGATGCAGGACGGAGGGCCTGACAAGAACAGCTGTCTAGTCGTTCGGATGGCACGAAAAGCCAAGGTCCCGTGTATACGTAAAAGATTCCTTGGCAGTTGGAATTCGATATAAGAGTAGGCCATAGTGCCGCTGCCCGGGCAAAATTTGCCTCATAGCACATTGTATGGCGTATGACCGTCTTCATTCATCCAGTATAGGAGCAGAACAGTAGAACGTTAAACCCCATTTTATTTCATTTCATTTGATTTCGTGTCAAATATAATATATAGATCATTATTATTATACCCAATATTGTATTCTGATAAAATAAGTTATGTAATAACTTGTAATCAACTATAGCTGGTAGCTATACAAATATTAATCATTATGGTCTATCTAGAAAGCTTTTATTTCAACATGGCCGCTTAATTAATATTCCACGTTCTATCATCCTTAAATCCAACCTATCTTAAAGGAGCTAGACCTTTAACTCAGTATATTCCAGAAAATTCGAAATTAAGAAAATAAATATATATATTTTTAAATATTCGTCCATTACAATCAAGATTGATGTTGATAATTTAAACAATGAACATTTTATAATCGGTACACGAGTCGTGTATTCTATACCCAAAACATACCCAACAAGACCACGTGGAAGTAATTATATTTACACATTCTACGCCGACCGCATCCCGTTTTCAGATTTTCTAGGAGGATTGACACAGTAAAAATAAACCAGTTCGTGACAGTAAAAGACAGTTCGTTACACTAAAGAACGGTTCGTTGCAGTGCACGGCAATTCGTTACAGTAACAGACAGTTCGTTACAGTTGAAGGCAATTCGTTACGGTACCAGACAGTTCGTTACAGTACAAGACAGTTCGTTACGGTACAAGACAGTTCGTCACAGGACCCGTGGTTGACATAAACACTTGTATAAACCTTTCTTCAATGACACGTCTGCTCATCCAATATTAAAAATCAATCAATTGTTTAACAATCACCAGCCATGTTATTATATCTCTACCAGGAGACGGTTCATTAAATTATTGATGGGTTTGAACAACAATTTACAGACTCAATACAATAACGACTTATTTACAGCCTGTATTTTATTTGTATAAGACATGTCCTCACAAACACGTTCCCATGCCCTCATAAATACGTATTCATGTCCTCATAAACACAGATCCGTGATTTATATACAGATTGTATATCTAATTAAAATAGCACGAGGTGGTCTGTGATTTATACACAGTTCGTGCATCTCGTTAAAGTAACATGCTGCAGTCTGTTATTGTATATCTAAACAAAAGTAGCACGAGGCTGTCTGTATGTGATATAGACTGCAAATTGCATAATAGCAAAGTAGAGTTGCATGGGACGGTCTGTGATTTTTTATCTGTTTAAAGTGGCTTGATGCGATCTGTGATTTTTTATCTGGTTAAAGTAGCATGCAACTCTGTGATTTTTAAATTATATAGAATGGGACCAGTGGATATTTTCAACCGCTGATTTGGTGAAAAATGACTGCGACATAACCGTAGGTGGAAGGGAACGTTAAAATTTTATGACCCCATCGTTACGGCGTGTGTGTATTTTACATTACTTCTACTACTACGGCCACGAATTTACGGCGTGTAATCGTGTTATATCACCAACTATCATTTCTACTACTGATGACAATAAACGGTGACGATTTTACCTCGGATATTCGTAATACTGTTACTCAAACTATTACCGATGATGCTGCGGTCACGGTCTATTGTCGTATAAAATAAATACGTCATTTCCGCCGTCACTGTTTACATTTGTGTCATACCTGTGCTACTGATGGAATTACAACCGCGGTGTAAACGTTCTATTATGAACTGGAGCCACCGTGGCTAAGTGGGTAAGGCGCTGGCTCGCTAGCCTGGAGGTCGCGGGTCCGATCCCGGTGTACTCCGAAAGGGATTTACCGGCGTGGTCCCCCCTCCCCCTGTCAATGGTGCAGAACGGAGGGTCTGACAAGAACAGCTGTCTAGACGTTCGGATGGGACGAAAATCCGAGGTCTTGTGTACACATTGGCGTGCACATTAAAGATCCCTTGGCAGTTGGAATTCAATATAAGAGAAGGCCGTAGCGCCGCTATCCGGGCAAAATTTCTCTCATAGCACACTCTGTGACATATGCCCGTCTTCATTAGCCCAGTCGGACGTTAAACCTCATTTCATTTTATCTCTATTATGAACTAGTGTATCATTGGTGGAAATGAAATGAAATGAAATGGGGTTTAACGTCCTACTATACTGCCCTGACTGGGCTAATGAAGACGGGCATACGACGTCATGGAGTGTGCATGGGGGGGGGGGGAGATTTTGTTCACTAAATGAAATAGGGTTTAACGTCCTACTGATCTGTGTCATTGATTGGGTACCAATGTAACTTGCTATAGTTAAATAGACATTTATGCCATCCGCACGTAGACTTTACCAAAGAACACAAGCTAGGGCATTTCAGGACGTAGGTAAAATTTTATTTCCTTGTCAACTGTGTGGGAATAACCGGTGGCGTTTAAACATTGATTAGTATAAGTTGACGATACTATAAATCTGTACGGGAAATAAGATCAATATTAGATCGGATATATACATTGAGAGACAAGTACGAACAACTACTGTTTAAACCTAACAGACTTAATGATAATAAATGCGAGTCAAATACAACTGTTTTCATATCGATCTAATAGTTCGTAGTGACAGGTATCAGCGACCGTAATTAACAAAAACTTGCTTATAATTTTAACCTTCTGTCAAGAAGATTGGTGGTGATATTTTAAAATAGAAACAATTTCTTAAAGTTTGATGTTCTGTGGTGTATTTTTTTACTGTTGTCTCTGATTCTGGAGATAATAACTTTCTGTGTTAAACATAATTTGATTTGAGTAGAAATCGAAGCCATTTTACTGTGCAGACATATTAACTATTTGTCATTATACCGAAGATGACGAAATTTCTCTGTTAATCGTAATTTGACTTCAGTAGAAATAGAAATTGTTCTCTCGGGAATTGCACAACCAGTACAGACATCCAGTATATAAACTTGGAACAGTTGGTTATATTGTTGTATAACAACCAGTACAGGCATCCAGCATATCAACTTGGAACAGTTGGTTATATTGTTATATAACAGAAAGAATAAACAGCACGGAAAGTTAGTTTGTAACCCGTTTATACGACAATAGTGGAATTTGGCACTTTGTTTTTAAAAACACATTAGTGGTAGGACTATCCAGAAATGGAAGGACATTTTATTACTTTGTTTAGTTTGTGATCTGTTTAAACGACAACAGTGGTATTTGGGACTTGTTGTGGTATAAAAGAAATGGAAGGCAATTTCAGCAATATGTTCGCTAACTTGACTCAACCAGTTGTTCCCCAGCCACCGTTTTATCTTCTCGGTGTGACCACCTTTCTGTATATCATCATCTTCTCTGTGGGAGTATTTGGTAACTTTGCTGTGATAACTGTCGTCTATAGATGTCGAGCCATGAGAACTTTTTTCAATAAATTATTTCTGAACCTGTGTGTAGCTGATTTACTGGTGCTGGTAATCACGGGGCCCACAGCGGTTATAGATATATATGCTAGAGAAATATGGTATCTGGGGGAAATCATGTGTAAGTATTCCTTTGTATTATCCGAAAAGGGGAGGGGTGCTGAGTTCGATCTCACGATTGTACGGGACATTGGTGGAGATTGGGTGTCTAAGGCATGCGCTACCGATCACCGATCTGTAATTGGTTCATATGTACAAGCATTTTCCGGTTACTGGTGTGGCCGATCTGTGAAGATTCCTCATGATGCAGAAATTTTGTGTAGAAGATGCTTGTATTGCCATAGATTTTAACGAATAATCTGTATAGATTGGGGAAAGTTTCTGTTCTTACATTTTGCAATTGCTTAAAGATGCCTTATGTAAGAGATAAATCGGCCTATTCACATCAAATTATTAATGAGACATTCACAAGACTAGCCCATAATCAACTCTCTGGATCAGCGGATGGTAGTGATTTTAATAGACTGAAACACGATCCCCCATTTAAAGATATAATATCGGAGATTAGATAAAGTCTGGTAGATCTCACTATAATAGTTAAAAACTAGATAATGTAAAGGGAATTTGCTGGAAATTTCAGTCAAACTGATCCACCCTGATCCGAGTATTTTGCGATTAAATTTTGGGCCTAGCCTCGATCATCATTACTAAAGTCGAAGTCGGTACGATAAATAAAATAGTCTTGATTATCCATTTTTTGATCTAATCAGAAGCAGGAGACCGGGTTGTAATCCAGTAAATATCATAGGCTAGCATTGCCTGATTATAGTCTGGATAAGTTAATTAATGTATAATTAATAATTTAGATAACATTTCAGGCCTAAAGAAAGACCTGCAATAGGCAGATTTAGCTCTTGCATAATGTATGTTTAATATGATTATTACAATGACATCATTATTAATGTGACGTCATAATGTATGTTTAATAATTTGATTTAAATATGGATAATCGTGACTGTATTTATTATTTTAACAATAATAGCGATGAAAATCGAGTCTACGCTAGTCTTATAAAAAATTGTCAACATCATAACTTCGGTCAGAATAAAGTAATTTGATTGAAATTTTCAATCTATTCATTTTTCTGTATCTATTTTGAACTATCAATGCTAGAACTTCAGATCTTTATTATGGAAGACCAGAAAGTTCTTTATTCAGTGTTTGTAATTCTTAGTTCTTAATTCATAATTCTTAATTTTTATTTCTTAATTCATAGTTCTTAATTCTTATTTCTTTATTAGTTGTCGTATTTCGACATTTGTACACTAAAATAAACATTTGCATCGTAAAATCTATATTAGTTTTACACTTCCGACATCTGTCATGTCAGATTTGTAAATTTTATGTTTGCTTAATTTAATAGAAACAACGAAAAACAAATCTCGAGCAACAAATTTCACAAAACATAATTTGTCAAAAAAACATTTCTGTATATTCATCGCGGATGGAGGGGGGGGGGGTCTAATATGGTTAGCACGTGTGCGCTGTGTCATTGCGTCAAGTGGCGTGATGTCGATTCCCCGGTTGTACATGATAAGGAGTAGGGTCGCCTGCCCAGCCTCATCGTTTTCTTCAGGTCTTCCAGTTTCCTCCCACTGAATTATTAAAATAAAATTGAACTATGTGTAAGTCCCGAAATGACCTAGTTTGTGTCGAGTGGACGTTAAATCTCCCTAGTAACGCAAGTATTGGGTCGAAATCAACCTGACATACAATAAGTCATCATACAATAAAGGGGAATCATTTGAACAACTAGACCTAAATCTTATTGCCAAGCCCTCTGGCCTGTATAACCGACAAGGAAGAGCTACGCAGGAAAATCCTGTCCTGCCTCACAACACTGCCCTCTCATATGGCTGGGAAATTGTAAGCATTATTCTGCTTTAAACATACAATACTATAAAATTGTTTTTATGGGGTTTAAATGTATATCAGATAATTATGTAATATGATACGTCAGTAATTATACAGAATTTCACTACTTGATATTTGTAAAACGATAGTCAACCACTGTAAATTCTCCGCTAACAGAAGTTATTGATCATTTTGTCACGATGTCATATCAAATATTAAATGTAATGGAACAAATTCAAGCATACTGCCATATCATATTGTAACATCACTGCACTCATGTTCGATGCAGGATGTTTCTCGATTTTACACACCCATGCTAGGTATTTGTAATATCTTGTCTCTAGGTGGAACTAAAGTGATAATATGTGACGTGTGTCACTTCTGTTATTAAGCTTTCATATTACATATGAAAGCTTATTGTTTCTGTTAAGATTATTATTGTTATTTTTTTTTTGTGTTTTGTCCACAAATCGGATTTCTCAGAATCTAACCATAGGATCGTTCTGAAACTTTTACCTATCCCCCCAAAAATGGGTGGTGGCTGTTGATTAAATATATTTTCAAAACGTTTTACGAATCCGAAATCACCGAATTTTACGAAGGAATGCATTTGACCTACAATGCTGTAACTCTGTGACTATTTGACCTATTTTACTAATTCTTTTTTCTTTGAGTATCTTGAAACATTTACTTCAAATCTGCAATTTCGGATTTTGGCATTTCGAAAATTCGTCGCTGTCATTTCGAACCGGAAGTTATTACCAATTTGACAACTTCTTTAATAGTTGTGCGATTTTCGTGAAATTTAGAATGTTAGTAGATCTTGCCAATGCGACTTCAATGATGTCCTTGGAAATTTTCTAAATTATCTCCCCTTGGTGAAATTAAGGATCAAAGTTTTCAAAAAAATCGTCGAAATATAGGTCAGAATGACCTAAAAAAAAAATTCGATACTAGACAAGTAATTACTGATTCGTACACAAAATATGGAGTTTGTCGATCGAACCGGAAGTGCCACCATGTTTAAACGTGAAAAATCAAAAAGGCTTTTTTGCTATTTTACTTACAGACTCGGGCGTCATATTTTCGGAATCCTGGAAGGAATACCTAAAAATCTATCGGATCAGAATTTTGATTTCGGTCACGTGATGGTCACCATTTTGAATTGAAAATGAAAAATAGAAGCAATTTGAAGGGCTGGGACTTTGGAACACAAGAACTCTCCTTCTAATTAAGCTAGAATGTTCAAACTTGGTGTAGGCGTTCACTAGGTCAATGTCATGATTGAGTTCAAAGATGAGCATTTTTTGCCTAGGGTAAGCAGAGATAAGCAAGCTGATTTGTTGATTCTTTAGGGCACGATGACATTGGTTATAATGAATGGAGGGCGATGAAACTCTTGTCAATCGAGAGGCTAATAGCTGGCCTGTTGTGTGAAATCATTGTATCATTTTTTATTCGAATTTCTCCTTTGATGTTTTCCGTGCCGACAAGGTTGTTTTCGAGTTTAGCTGGATTTGACTTCGCGCATGCGCTACGCTGGAACCAAAGGTACCATGAGTACTAAATTCCGGCGAGCAACTTTTCACGTTGGTACCTAGGTACCCTGAAAATTTCAAGGTGATACCTGCATTCGTTCATGTCGTTTGTTCTTGTCACCTGCCTTTCGTCGTTTTTTTTCTAAGTCAATTTACGGCTTCCATGAGGGGAAAAAAGTGGAATTTCGCCGTGACACCGGCACCGATTGTCCGAAAACCATGAAATTTGGACACAATACGTCCATTACCACCCCGGACTCTGTGCCTTACCCCCATTTTGATCCCATTAAAAAAAAGAGTTTTAGCAAAAAAACGATTTTCGGAATTTAATATTGGTTTTAACCCTGTACCCAGACAAGATATAGATATTATTATAATCCCTATGAAATATTTTAATTATTTACTGCTATAATATGAATTATCACTTATTCCCCGTTAAATAAATATCGGTCACCGGGTGCAGCTGTACAACTTCAAGGACCCTGGCTTCAAGTCAATTTACGGCTTCCATGAGGGGAAAAAAGTGGAATTTCGCCGTGACACCGGCACCGATTGTCCGAAAACCATGAAATTTGGACACAATACGCCCATTACCACCCCGGACTCTGTGCCTTACTCCCATTTTGATCCGATTAAAAAAAAAAAAGTTTTAGCAAAAAAACGATTTTCGGAATTTAATATTGGTTTTAATTAATTTTGAAATTGCAAATGCAAAGAGATTTTATCGCCTCTTCCGTATGTGATAGGTACTGGTACTATACACATTATCCTTAAAAGACAATTTTTTAAAATGACCGTAACGATGTATCGACACTAGAAACCGAAATCGCCTATTTTGACCTTTTTTGACTGCTGAGGCATCCAAATCTCTGGAATTTCTAGCGGTTGGCTGCGCCGCGATGATATTTATCACATACTAAATTGAGAAAAATCCTCAGATATCAAGAACAATAAAAATTCGATAAAATACGGCAATTTTTTAAGCAAAAAACCTTTGATTGTTGGGGGCGGGTTTTGAATTTATTTTGAACGTTCTCGGAATCCAACACTCTTCTATTTTTAATATGTGATAGCTAGAATCCCAAGGTACATTCTGTGCATATTTGAAGGCAATCGGAGCACAGGAACGTTGCCTGGGCAGAGCAAATCAAAGGCTTCTTCGTCTTATGACCTTAAACACTGCGTATAAATTTAAAGTCAATCGGATATTTACAGCAAAAGGGGGGCGACGACAATATACGACCACATTTCAATGTGGGCCTATAAAAAGTAAATCATTGCCAATAGAAAAGACCCACCTTTCCCCCAACAACAACCATGTAATGCACTAGCTATAATGGGGATTTTTCTGGAACACAGCGAAATGGGTCTTTTAAAATGTTCACAAGTGTATCACAAGGAGGGTTTGCTTCTTCTCTATGGGACACCCGATACCACTTCTCAACGAGGAATTCAGTCACACAGCCAACACCATTTTGTATGTTTGTGTAATCTTTATTCAGTATAAATCAAGTAATACAAATAAAAAAATACTTGGATTGATGAAAACATAATTTTTTAGAGTTATTCATACATGTAGCATAATTGTTCTTATTTAAAAAATGTACATGATTACATGTTTGTCATATACAACATTAAATAAACAATCATGTTTCTTCACGATAACAGT